TAAAATTGAAAATGAAAATAAAACTATCATAGTTTCATTTATAAAATTTTTAAAGGATGTTATTCACATAATGGTGATTATGTAAAAATATATTTATGGCTCTCAGATAACTTTTAAATTGTTGTGAGGGACAGGATTGGCTCTTCCAGGGTTCGGCAAACTTTTGAGATGGAACGTACCCAAATAGCCACATGTGTCTTGAGAGCTGCAGTTTGCCAACTCCTGATCTAGTGTATTAGCTGCTGGAGCTGCCATTACAAAGTACCACAGACAGCGGGGCTTAAACAACAGAAACTTATTTTCTCACAGTTCTGGAGGCTGGAAGTCCAAGTTCAAGGTGTCCACAGAGTTGGCTTCTTCTGAGCCCTCTCTCCTTGGCTTGAAGATGGCGACCTGCTATCTGTGTCTTCACATGACCTTCATTCTATGGGTCTGTTTCCTAATCTCCTCTTCTTATAAGGACATATTGGACTTTTTATAAGGACATATTGGCCTATCCTAATAACCTCATTTTAGCTCAGTCACCTCTTTAAAGGCCCTATCTCCAAATATAGTCATGTACTAGGTACTGGGGGGTTAGGACTCCAACATAGGAATTTGGGGGGTGGGGAGACGTGATTTAGCTCATAACATCTAGGAAGAAACCTTTCAGGTGCCAGGGCCTCTGTGGCTCTGGAGTGCCTCTGAAGGATACCAATCTAGATACTTAAAGAATATGAAAAATCCTAGTGTAAGGAGAAAAGTAATTAGGGATGAAGGTCATTATAAAGGAAGCAAGGCTGGATGGAAAGGCTTTGAATATAGAGGAATAAGCAGTGAGCATTTGAGGCGGTGATGCGGACAGGGGGCTTAGGAAGAAAGACCCAGAGCTGAAAGTGCACATTTTGTATTTGTGGAGCAATAAAGAAATCTTTGTGGCAAAAATAGAGTACTTACCTGCAGAGAATAGTGGGGAATCAGTTGGATAGATCAGCTGGAAATATATTATGTTCAGGACTTTTCAATGTCAGCCAGGCAAGATTAGCACTAATAGGGCAGGAAATAGGGAGCTATTAACATTGTTGGGGGGAGAGAAATGAAATAATGAA